GGAGAAAAAATATTATGTAGTTTTTACATATTAGTAGACTCTAAAATCGATTAAATAAGCCTTTGAAACACCTAAATTGTCGAATTTTCGGAACCTTTTATTCGAAGCTCGACCACGCCCACTTTGCTTTCGTCGGGGAAATCTGACACCTCGTTGGGGGCACCGACCCCCCACCGTCGAGGACCTCTGCCCCCTCGTCGGGCAAATCCTGGCGCCACCCCTGTTTTGTTGCATTATTGACTTCAAATCGGCTTTCGATTCCATCGACCACCATTTTCTTTTATATAAGTTTAAAAAAGCTGGTTTAAAGGGAAACATATTCGAAATTATTATTTCACCTGTACAGCAAACTCAATGCTCACATGGAAATTGGCAATTCCATCAGTAAAGAATTCAATTGTTTAATAGGTGTACAACAAGGTGCTCCAATGTCTTCATTTCTGTTTAACCTTTTCATTAACAACCTCAGTGAATCTTACTGAAAACAGAAATAAAACTCAAATAGATGATATGAAAATCAATAATTTATTATATGCTGATGATCTTATACTTATTAGTTACACTGTTGATGGTTTACAATGTACTTTTAATAAATTGGCTAATTATTATGACGAATGGGGACGCATGGTTAACATTGAAAAAAGTAATATTATTTTCTTTAAAAATGGTGTAGTGAGGGAGTAAATTAAAAAAAAAAAGGAAAATGGTACTACAAGGATATCCAGCTACAAGTTGATAAGTCCTACAAATATCTTGGTGTTAAATCTAATTCGTGTGGTACCGGTACTTAGACAACGGCAATAAATACTAATTATAGCAGATGTCTAGTTGACACATTCTACCCAATATATAAAACTATTGGAAGATTCGAACATTGTAGATGCTGATATTATGTGGTAAGGTATGGAATCCGTTTTGAAGTAAGTGCGATTTTGTTCTTTTTAAAAGCAGCCTAACCAAGTCCAATCCTATGGTTCATAACTATCATTCCGTTATTTTGTTAAGAGAGTACAAATTATTATTTCGACGAACTAATATTAAGGGAATAAGGGAATGATTTCTTATTCAAGGGATCGAAATAATATTTCAAAGAAACGAACTATTATTTCAAGAGAACGAATCATTATTTCGAGGGGGAGACATAATATTTTAAAGGAACGGACTAATATTTCGAAGAAACGAATTAATATTTCGAGAGGACGAAATAATAATTTAGTAAAACGAATTAATAATTTGATAAATTAGACATTGAATTTTGCAATTACATTTTGATTTTAACATAACATAACTTCTGCTGCGTATGGCACCCCATAGACTACCCACTTGTTTTGCCATGATCGTACTTTACGAAGTAGGCCTACCATATTTTTATGTGTTGAGAAAGTGTGTAAATTCGTGGTTGTTAGGCTATCATTAATTAAAAGAAACATCTATTTTTATATTTCCAGATTGTTAGTACCTGTATATAAATAAAATATTATAAATAATATTTAGTGCCATATTTAGTGTTTTGGACTTTAAAACAATACACCTTTACGAACCTTAATTCTTTGGATGTGTACTTTTAACCAGTATTTATACACCTCTTTTAACCAGTATTTATACACCTCTGGTAACAAATACTAAATTATTGTAGAATTTTTAGTAATATCAGGCCAGCACAAGTAGGCTTACGCCGGCCTAGTGTAACCTAAAATGAGCTGTCGCTCTATGACAATTAAACAAATGGCTACTCTTGTACTTTTATTGTAGCGCTGATGCACAAAAATACATACAACTAGAAATTGCAAATTGCAAGTGAAGTGCTGCGAAGTACAACTGCATATAAATGTTCTTCGAACAAATTATTTATGCGAGTAAAGTGAAAATAATGAATAATAAAAATATAACAAATAATATGAGACACGACCCATTGTCTATATTAGAACACTTCTCATTGGGCAACAAAGTCGTAATTTTTCATTTTTGTCAAAAAGTGTCTGTAGTGGTGAATTATTTAGGTTTTTTAAAATAAAGTTTCAAAAATTTCTATGTATGTGGAAAATGTAGTTGATTACCAAAGGTTACAATTTTTATTTTAAAGACTGCATGGTCTAGGAAGTGTACATTTTTTTATGGGGCAAGTTTCCAAGGGCGGGTTTTCTAGGGGCGAGTTGACTGCCAAAGAGTGTTGCCAAAGTGCGAAAAAACGTGTTATTTGATCACAAGTGCGAGACATCACAAGTGTGAGTGAGCCAGCGAGCCATGACGTCACGACAATAGATACGAGACGTTAAGGATTTGTGCGAGGTATCGACTGAGATTTGTGGAGTACAATTCAAAAAACAACTATAGGTCTAATAATGAATTATTGTGATGTTAAATAGACAATGTTAGCTATCAAAGAGCGACATT